AATGCTCATGTGCAGTGTTGTACACTGAGCAGAGCCGCTGCAGACTCTGCATAACCACGGTTCAATCACATCAGCCTCCGCGGACCATCCCAAGACCGTTGCCGCTTAAGACGTGCTGCGTATATTGGCTGTCAATTGGGGCAAGCGTTTCCGCATGCTTTTTGACAGGATGCTGCCCCGGTGCATGGTGCGCTCCTGTCGGGGCAGAACAGCTTCCCAATATCTCGACGGTAAGCAGAGGGGATCCGTTACCTCTGACCTGGAGAAAAGTGTACTGCCCACAACAGCTCGTTTCGAGTCAGCATCCGCGTCCACTCCGCCGGATCACAAACCCTTCGAGCACGTCGTGGATCAAGCTGCACAGTCATGCCACTGTGACTTCTGCCGTGACCTGCCCCACCTGACTTGGCTAAGCCTGCTGCAAGTGAGGCATCCTGATTTGCCAGGTGACCTTGCTCAACCTGATCTCCGAGCAGCTCTTGGGTGAGTTGACCTTTGCAATGAACAAGCCCCATTTGGCCGCGGCCCGTAGCCATGCGTGGAAGCAAGAGCACGATAGAGCACGACATGGGCATCCTGAGCCTCAGGTTGTTCATCCGTTGTTCCAAACCATGGAGCTGAATGCGACCTTATTCCTGCAGCGGATGTGCATCAAGGTGCCCACCTGAAAGGGAGGGTCGGGCAGGTGCAACAGTTGTTGTGCTGGCGAGGCATTGGCGCCGAAGCAGCTCGCGCACAACGACTTCCTTTTCGTTGCTGCAGAACAGGCGCGAAGAGCAGCCCGTGCGGGCGATCAGCTCGTCTCAATCGGAACTGTTTTGCCCTTGCAGCTCACGGTTGCATGTTATCCGACATCTAAGGCCAAAGAGATGACCTTTCTAACCTCAGGAATGTCAGTGGCTGAGTTCGGGATCCTCCTGAGCGATTTGGTTGCAGCTCACCGCAGAAGTTAAGGCTGCTCTACAAAAAAGTCTCGCACGAGGAAGGGGCTTCTGTCAGCACAGACAACACGTGTGAAGGACTCGGATTTGCGATCTCCCGCGCCAGGAATATGTACAGATAGATTGCGATTGGATAACGGAACAAGCCCTCTGGCTGACAAGCTGGGAACACCTAGGCCGGGACTTGGCAAATCCTGGAAATCGTGTTGATGTTGTATGTGACATCAAGAGCAGAATCAGGTCGAAGCGAAAGTCATGGCTTTGTTGTTAAGTCTACTCAAAAGTTCCGAGCAGGCACTGCAGAATCTCTGGGCGAGTCAACACTTGTCAGCATCGACTCAGAGGCGTTTGGCAGCGTCTCTCGTCGACTTAACGGTGTACTGTTTACGGTTTTGCAGCATGCACCGGCTTAGTCTCTTGTGCCCCTTGGTCTTACGCCCCTCTGTCTCAGCAGGCTTGATAGGGCTGTTTGTGGACAGTCGGCGCACTCAGCCTGCCGGCGAACGAGAACATGAACATAGTCATCTGTGCCGTGGGAATTGTAGGACCATTTCTGCTGACGGACTGAGGGTGCTGATAGCATCAACACAAAGGCTGTCGAAGGGAAGTGTTGTCTGCAGAAGATCGTGATAGGTGTCGGTCTGGGATTGCTTGAGTTCGCAACCCGTGACTTTGCCCCTACCGCTGGAAAAAGGGGTGCTGGAACACACTGAATAACAATTTGTTTTCTGTCTCAACCTTGGCAAAGGGCAGAATCAGGACTGCGGCCCTGCCTGGGCGCTGGCTGGGAGATTGTTGGGAGATCTTGCCCAGTTTTGACAGATTCAAATCCGGTCCGGGGCCTCCGCCCCAAGAATCTGTCAAGTATCTGTGTCCGGCTGGAAAGGGACCTGTCCCAGCCCAGGGCACAGACCCTCCGGGAAAACCAATCCTCCAGACATGTTCGTTTTATTTGCATTTGGGGTCCATGATCGCAAATCTATCCTCGCTGGTTGGAAAACACCGAAGCAGCTGATCGCAGCTTTTTATAGATTCAATACATGCATCAATAATTTGTGGTGGTGGTGGTGGTGGGCAGCAGCAGCAGCAGTAGCAGGCAGTTAGTACGCAGTAAGTCGTAGTAGGCATTAATAATACAGTAGTACATACTAGTAAGTAGTAGTAAGTAGGCGTAAGTACTAGTAGGTACCAGTATGCAGTAGTAGGTAGTAGTAAGTGGTACTAGGTAGTATTATTATTAGTAGTAAGTAGTAGTAGTAGTAGTAGTAGTAGTAGTAGTAGTAGCAGCAGCAGAAAGTAGTAGTAGTAGTAGTAGTAGGAGGAGTAGTAGTAGTAGAAGAAGAAGAAGTAGTAGTAGTAGTAGTAGTAGTAGTAGGGTGGTGGTGGTGGTGGTACTGGTGCTGGTGGTAGTACTGGTAGCACTGGCAGTAGTGGAAAGAGGAGCAGCATTTGGTGATTTTTTGGATGGCCTGGATTGGGCGATATTGGACGCTGATTAGATCAGTAACGGCTGCCATTGCTGTGCTCAGATGCCTGAGAACGCTGTCCGCCGGGAAAGCTTTTTTGTTGGGGACACCCTACAAGGCCGGAGAAACTTTCCATCTTCGTGGGTACCACGCTAATCACTCTAACATGAGAGATGTGGCGCAGCTCACCTAGCCACGTGGAAACCTGCCATGTAGTGCCTTCGGATGCTGCCGTGCCGGAGCCAAAAAAACATGAGAACAGGCAGCCCTTGCGAAGACGTGTCGACCCGTTCAATCCAAACAAAGTGTGCTAGAGACCCCGCGTCAGCAACCCAGCCCCAAACACTTTTGCCATGCACATGCCCTGGGTCCCGACTCATGTTTGAATGAGCAGTGTCACACGCTTCTGGATACTGTAAAAAGTCATAAAATTCCGCACTATGTGGGTGTCTCAGGTTGTGGAGCAGTCCAGCACAGCTCTAGTTCGTTTGGTGCAGCTCTACGCGCGTCAGTTCATCGTATCCCGGATGCGAATGATGTTTACAACCTTCCTGTCAAGCCTTACCATCCATGTGGTGGTGCATTCTGCACAACGGTGGGCCACCGTGCATCATGAGAGCCCAGTTTAGCCACACTGCTCTCTTGCCACCGACCAAGACCTGGCTGAACGAGCTTCAGATCCAACAACTCTCGGATGTGGTCCAGGGTGATGTCATGGCGGAGAAGGCGGAACGGACCAACATCAGTTCAATCTCTCTGTATTAGTTGATTTGAGATACATGATGGCATGCTATGCTACAGCAAAGCAGCCGGCATCGTAGCCGGCAGCCACTTCCTCCGTTTTGAACTCACGCAGCCATCTCTGTTGGACACTGTACTTGCCAGATCCGTGGCTTCATTCCAGAGAATTTGGCGCGCCCTTTGGCTGCAAAGAGAGCATAGGCAGAGACATTCAGCCGCCATGACGTCCCATTTCATTGCGCGCACCTGAGGCAGCACGTCTTGACGTCGAGCGTCTTCGATGAATCAACACAGCCTGAGAATCGCCTTGGGCAGTAAAGTCTGACTCAGTCTAAGCTTATGCATTACGGACACAGATGGTTTCTGTTGTTGGGCAGCTTGAACCCGCTGCTGAAGGGACACTAGCTGGAGAGTTGAACCTGATTGCGGTTGCTGGGAGGTGTCGGTGCACGTGGCCCATGCTATTGCCGGATTGATTGATGAAGGGTTACATGGCTGTCACATCTGTCGGGACTGAAGTCATGTGAAGCAGTAAATTTCTTCAGCAGGGCAATGGACAAGTGATGGGCGCTTGTGCTCTGCATCGAGCATACGGTTCTGCGGGCACGCTGAAAATGTCCAGAGTCTAGACAGACTGCTGAGCAGGGCTGGATGACTCCATCCGTCTTGCCTTTCTAACCCGGTACACGTCCGAAAAAATCTGCGACAATTTGAAGCCTAGACCCAACACCACAGCCTAATTGTTCGAGTGTTTTTTGCGTTCTCCTGTCACGGGTGCTTTTGGGCTGGATTGCCTAAGACGGCTTCACAGGCAGCAGAGCAATGTTGGGTGCATCCAGCGGGCAACAGTTCAAGTCGAAGCCTCGTGCAGTGACCACACCAATGCCAGCGGATATCCCAACCTTGGCATTGAGTCGCGGGACGACCTTCGGGTTCGATCTGCACATATCTGCACCCAGTTCAGGGCAACGAACTCGTAGAGTCACAGGCATCCTCAGCCAACATGCAGCATATGTGCTGCAGATGAATTGTTGGTGCAGACGTATGGAGCACGATCAATTTGCGGCTCACTTTCCGTTAATGGCATCCACCTCACGTTGAGGATTCGAGAGCTAGGCTGACTCCCGAAGAAGGAGTGCGGCCAAGAGCTGTGTTCATGAGCGGTGCTGAGAAATGCCAGGGATGCATCAGTTCGACGAAGCTGAGCGAGCAAAAGCAAGCCTTTGTCTGTCCTTTCCAGTTAGAACCGTGGTAGTTCTCAGCATTGGGCTGTGCGCTGGAGACTTGCAGAGCAGGTTGTTTCAGCCGCACCCCGTACGATATTCTTACTTGCAAAGCGATGTCCGGAGTGTCACAAGTCGAAAGCAAACTTGAGCTTGTTCTGGTATCTGGTTCCCCGCTACAAGACCCGCACTTCGCCGTTGGACCACCTGATTCCTGACGTGACTTGTCTCTCGCTGGGCTGTCTGTACACCGCTTGAAAGGCCCTGCCGAAAACGTCACATCACACTGTCAGCTGATTTGCTGTTTGCCGTCCAAGCAGGCAGTAGCGATTGCGCATAGCCAATGTGCAAAGCACAGAATTGCATGGCGAGGGCTTGCTGCAGATTTCGGCACATATCGATTTTTGCGGGCTCAAATCCATCCGAGGCCCGGCAACACAGATCTAGCACAACAGCATGGCCTGCAGGGTGTTGCATGATGCCGTCCGTTTCTGCGAAGTAGAGACTCAAAGCGATCCTCTAGTCACTTCAGTCAAAGTATCAACGGCTTCGTGTTTTGCTGTGTGCATCACTTTTGATCAGGCTTACTGTCCACCCTGTCTGATAAGCTTACGACACACTTTCCCGCGATGGCACCTTCGGAGCATCTGCAGCGCTGCCCTTGAAGCTATATGAGTGCCAAGCGAGGCTTGAGGACTCAATGGTTGAGCATGTCGCTTTGTCCACCAAGGCCAGAAGAGCAAGCATGGCAAGCTGTCTTTGTCGTTGCCTGAAGTGCGAAAGACTGAAAGACTCTGGCTTTCTTTGGTTTTTCCCGGTTCTGAGCAGCCAGGAGCGGCTCTGCGAGCGATTCCCCGACACAGGCGGGACGGGAGCGGCGAACTTCAGAAGCCTGGCCGCGTTGCGCGCAGGAGCTGCCAAAGTGGCTGCCATCCTCCGAGACAACAATGGCCATGCAGGTCCGCTTCATTTCCAGACCATTCCAGACCTTTTGCACTCACTCATCGTAATTCTTCTCTTCGCCGGGGTATTGAGGGCTTCCAAGGGTAGCAGGATGTGTCGCATGATTCACAGAAATTCCAGTCGCAAGCGTGTGGCCTGCTCCAGCATCATGTGATTCGTGATGCTGCAAGACTAGGTGACGAGTGGACGCTTCCTGCTACTTGCACCGCTTAACTTGAGAGGTCAGGCTGCAGCTGCCATTCGGGAGCGGCAGCAGAGCTGTGGGATGCTGTGGGCAGGTTGCAGGAAGGTCCAATGAAGGTCTTTTGAGGTCCAGCATTGACGACGTGACAGTTCGGACTGCTAAGTCACTAAAAATCAATCAGGCCACGACACATGATGAGGTTTCTGCTGTAAGCAAGTGGAGCCACACAGGATGTGCTTGAGAAGAGTGCTGGTTCAGTAATGGCAGCATCTTGCAGCGGCAGTTTGATTGGCGTTGTTGTGTGTCGGTTTTGTCTGCAGCTGAAAGATCTCAATTGCCTCGAATTCCATGGAACACGTTGCTGCTTGCAGGCAGGGCATGGCTGCCAGGGTCGCTTCGCACCGCAACAGCTACACAGTCTCTTTTGCCGAGGGGCCAATGCCAGAGCAACAGGTTCCCTCTGCATGGCGCAAACAGCCGAAGCTGATCACTAAAGTTCTCTCCGGGCTGGTCAAAAAAAGCACCTGGCATGAGGTGCTGGAGTCGGCAGCATGCAAGCTTGGGGCGACGTTTGCTGCTAGCCAAGTGCAAAGGCAATAAGTCACTACACCCGACTCTAGACTCTCTAGACTCTAGAATATCATAGGCAAGCTTCTCCCTCCCTCACAACTCAGCATCCACGCGGTCCGAAGGTTAAAAGCTGTTCCGAAACGTGTACCCTAGCGTAACTCCCTGACAGCAGCACTGCTGGTCAAAGCACATCGGTCAACCCTTGAGGTGCTGGCGCTCGTGACGCGTTTAGAAGAGGCCGAGCTGAAGCCGGATTCGATACATTTCAACACAGCAATATCAGCAGTAGCAAGGGCTGGCCACTGGACCATGGCTTTCGAGATGTTGCAGGCCATGTTTGACAGGGGCCTGCAACTCGATGCATTTTCGTATTGCTCCACTATCAGCGCATGCGAGAAAGCAAGCGTTTGGATTATGGCCCTCGACGTCTTGAAAGAGATGATAAAGTCCAACCTTGGTCGAAGTACAATTGCATTCAGCTCTTCCATCAGTGCTTGTGAGAAAAGTACTTGCTGGGAAGCGGCACTGCAACTCCTAGCCGCCATGGCTTGCGACACCGTGCAGCGTAACACCATTACTTTTAACTCCGCGATCACCGCATGCAGCGGGGCACAGCGGTGGCAACTCGTTACGCAGCTTTTGTTGGACATGTCTAGAGACCAGCTGCCACGGGACACCATCACATACAGTGCTGTCATCAGTGCTTGCGCGAAGCAGTGGCTGCTAGCCCTGGACTTCTTCCGGGATATGGAAGTTTCGCAGATCCGCAAGAATACAGTGACAGTCAACGCAATGCTGAGCGCCTGTGGGAAAGGTTCTGCTTGGGAAACTGCGCTGCAGATCCTGAAGGAGATGACCGTGCCGGCAACCCACATCACCTACGCCAGCATTCTCAGCACTTGTGGGCATCAAGCCAAATGGCAGCACACGCTCGCCTTGAAGCACGAAGCCTTAAGCCTTACTTGACCTTTAAGTAGCTGCAACTCCTGTAAAGGACAGTGCAATCCAGAACTCTAACTTGGATCCCTAGAGCTGCCAGGATCAAGACAATGGCACAGTCGCGTTTCATGGCAAACGGAGTGGAGGCAGGCTCGGCCGTAGCTGCTCTGCAAGGCGTCTTGGGATCCGAGCGTGCTGCTGATATGCTCAAGGCTCTTCGAGGCACCTGCATCGTATCGCCACGAAAAGCGTCTCAGAGCTGCGCATGTCGTAGTCTTTGCAGCGCTCGTTTTGCAGGTGCTTACTTCGGCTCCAGCGGATGGCAAGATACTTTTGGATGTGCTCGTCATGGTGCCGCTTTCGGGCCGATTGCCGAGATGAGCGAATACCGAGCAGACTTCAGAGCAGAGAGGAGGAAGCCGCCTGAGCTGCCTTCATTGACACTGCTGTACCAGTCCGGTGGCCTCGTCGCTGTCTCCAAACCTGCCGGGTTCTCTACCGAAGATGTGCTTCGCTGCTTGTCTGCGAAGCTGAAAACCAGGATTACACAAGTCTCCCGGTTGGACCTGCCCACGTCTGGCGTGCTGCTTGCAGCAGTTGGCAGCGAAACTAGCCTCCAAGCCTGGTGGCTTTTGGCACAGTTTGCTGGGCGCCTGATATCAAAAAGCTATTTGTGCTTGTGCTTTGGTAAAGCACCAGCCGGAGCAGAACGCGAAGTTTCCAGTCCACTGCTGACCACTCACTCAAAATATGGCGGATCCGGATACAGCCGGACACAGGCCGGGCCTTACAAAGATGCTCGGGAGCCTGGGTTGGACAGGGTGTAGCACGAGCTGTGCCGCACCTGTGCTTCGTGGCTCTGCGTTCTGCACTTCAGGTATCTTCATCCGGTTTGCCATCGAAGACTCGCTACAAGATTTTGGCTACGTTCGGAACGCAGCATCTGCTCGAAGAAGGACTGGCCTCAATCCCGGATTGCATACAGTGCGGTCATCAGCCCTGTCTTGCAGGAGTCTGCCTGGTAAAGGCTCAGCCCGTGACTGGAAGGAGCATATAATATAAGCTTTCTGGGGCATGCTAGCGTATAATGGTTCTGCAGCCGGGCGAAGAAGCGCTTTTGCTCCGAGGACTCACCAAATCCGGGCTCACTTGGCCAGCGTTTGGAGCTCACAGTGTTGCCACGAGCAAATACGAGCAATACCAAATCCGAAGTCCAAGAGTGGGGCGACTGTCCGTCTTCGCAGTGCTGCAGGAATGTAGCAGTGCTTCCACGGCATGTTCAGGTGGGCTTGCCTTTGGTGGGTGACGACAAATATTGCGAGGCCTCCCCCCCTTCCCGTGATCCGCTTGTCCGCAGTAAAACAGCTGCAACATGATGCGGCTGGAGGCGAGAGACGCCGCCATGGAAGGCGGGAATTCACAGCGTGTGCAGTGGCTGGGGCGGGTCTCGCTCGTGCCAGAAGGCCTTGCTAAGCAGCGCGCGTAGCGTCCTCAGAGGTTCTGTTTGGAGAGCAAGGCTGAGAGCATGACAGCCTTGTGGAGGCTTGCTGTTTCGCCATGGTGCCCCACACTGTTCCTGCACTGCTGGGAGCTACGCTTCTTAGGCCCATCTGTCGCGAACAGATTACAGATGTTCACCTGGTTAGATAGTGTAAGGGCACAAGTATTTTCAGCTAAACGCCTTCAGCCCGGCCCTTAAGTATGACTAGTCTCTCCGTTTCGGAGTCTAGAGGGAGGGATTGCTCCACGCCTTGGAGTTGTCCAATGTCCTCAGCTCCCTCGGGATGAAAATCTGCCTTGCCCATTCCGTCAGCTCCCTCGCGACAACAGGGAGCGCGTAGGGCTTAGTTGAGCTGCTTGTCCTTTCCCTTCCGGACCCCCTCGGGCCTGCAGGCCGCAGAACCAACGTAGGACATCGTAGGACTGCAGGACTTCAGACGGTGAAAGCGGATGATATGCCGCCCGACAGTGCGCAAATTTATTGTTTTGGCCACAATCGATATAATATGCTGCTTGGTGCGACTCGTTAACATTAGTGGCGATATTGATGTCGTCGTCACCTTGCGTATGCAGCCCGAAGTGCCCGGAACCACTGCACGCAAGTAATACAAAATCACTCCGCGAGCCGAAGCATAAGTCGGCCTGGCAAATATCAGACTGCGGCGGTGCATGATAAGCTGCATAGCTTCTGCATGCATTGTAACATCACGATGAGATGATGAGTGCAACTCGGTATGCCAACACTGACCGATCCATCCTAGACCCAAGTGCACATGCACAACTTCCGACAGGTCTGGACGAACAGCCACTTAGCATCCGTGCGGACCTGCCGATTCCATTGCGAAAAGCCCTTGAAAGTCTGTCAATTCGCAATGGCACAGTGCCACCCGAACTTTGCAAGCGCATGGAAAATGGCATGTTGCAGCTCGCTTGGGTGTTTGGCGCTCTTGCATGCTCTTGCCTCTCTGGGCCGATCTGCGGCCACTCTTATACTGTAGGACCTTGGTGGCACTGGCAAGCGAGAGGTCGATCCTGCAGAAAGCTCAGCGTGGCCTGCAGTGGAGCACGACACGTCCTGGCACGTCCTTGGACTTAGGATGACCAGGAGCACGTGAAGACACTTCTTACGAGCCCCGACCTCGGGCAAATGCCACGTCTTCTCCGAAGGACCCACAGCTCGGTAAGAGCCCAAGAGTTGTACAGAGCACAAAGATGGTCTTTTCCGCGTTGCCTCGGCGAAACCGACCCGCAGCTCCAGGATCCACGCTGCACGCTGCCGTACCTGATACTGACCTGGAGAGCCAGAGTGAACCATGACGGGAACAGCTGTACCGCCTCCACCGGGATTCTGGAGAGGGATGGAGGAGGGAGAGGGCCAAAATCCGACGATCCTGCAAAAGCACACCGTCGGCGCCTATTACCAAGGAGGAGGAGCAACAGAGACCAAGGGGATATCCCCACAGATAAGAAAACAAGAGGGCGACCGAGGGCACACCGTGCTGCGACTGAATCTCCTGTGATGCCACCATGCGGGGGGGGCAACTCCCCACAGGCGCCTACATGGCCGGTGCCCACCTCAAAGGGAGCACTTATGGCCCGTCAGAAGAAAAAGAGAGTTCAGAGGGCTCAGCACGGTCACAGACTTCGCTCCATCTCGATGGGTAACCCAAACAGACCCTTCTGAACTTTGCCGTCTTCTCTGATTGCTTCCGCCAGTGAGTTGGGTGAGGTGAATGAGCTTGCCTTCCGCAGTATTCTACGCTACATATGTCAAGTTTTGACGGCATTGATTGTTGGCTGTAGTATGCTGTAGTGCACTAACTTGCATTAGATGCTTTCGAGTCTGAGGTTGTCCTTGTCCTCCGTCAGAAATGACGCGGACCATCCTTCCACATGCGTATCTCATGCACGCTGGCGTTCCCCCCGGCCTGCAGCATCAAAAGCAAGTTGTAACGAGCACTCCACCTGAAGTCACACTGTATGAACCACTATCGTGAACGCTAGCCGAGGAGGAAAGCAAATGTACTTGTGTTTGGGACGCCGAACACTTGGATAGTTTCGCTAACTTGGAGGCCCCGTCATGTTTGCCGCGGTGTGCAAGGAGAACTTTCGGAAGAGATCCTCTCAGATTCGATGTTCCAGGGCAGGGCGGGGTGGCATGCCGTTCTGATTTTGAACATGTCCCAGATTCGACGCCAATGGCGACGGAGTGCTGAGCTGGTCGGAGGCGCATTTGCGGTCTAAGAGAAGGATATTGACTGTCCCTGTTCTTTCGAACCTCTGGCGGTGCTGCAGAGCACAACACAGGTTTTGCCCCTGGTGAACAGCCTTTACGAGAGCTTCGGTTTGCAGCCGTGATGCCGGCAAGTTTGCGATCCGAGTGAAGGGCGAGCGCTATTGAGCACTTCACGCTGTCAGTTCGGCCCCGCCCCGGGCAGCCCAGGAAATTCAGTGATCTAGAAACCCGAAGGCCCCGAAGCTTGGCGATCAGGAGACGTCCGGCTAATGGGTACGTTACGTCATGTGCCGAGAAGGCGGAGTAGTGCACGAAACGCTGCGAGCGAGGTGGATTTTGGATTAAAATTTAGCAGCGCGCTGATGATGGTCCAGTGCATGGTGCGGCATGGTGCGCGTCAGCGCTTCGCTTCGTTCCTGCAGCGCTGAGCCACCGAATTCGCACCCACTGGGGAAAGGAGAGTGCGCACGGTGGAATTTAATCTTGTCAGCTCGTACAGACAGATCTGTGGCTTTTTCAGCTTCTTCCCAGAATTGCGAGGCGATCTGAACCCTCATGGGCAGGGAGCCAACCCGAAATTTGCATGTGCTCGCAACACCTCCAACCTTTACTCGTCTTTTTCGCCTAAGTTGAGCTTCGACAACGCTCGGAGCCAGCTCTTAATGCTCCAGTGTTTGCGGTCTTTGTCTCGGGGGCAGTTGGGGGAAGGGAATGGACGGAATGGATTTGGCTTGGAGAAGCCACCAAGAAGGGCCGAGGCAATGCCAGGGCATATGGATTCTTGGATTACTGCCGGGTTGGACTTGAACTCCAAGCGGCTACTTTACAAGGGCGGCATCTGCGAAAACCCAGCGAGCTTCGTGCCATCTCGTGCCCAAACTGTCCAACATGTATATCTGCTCGGCCCGAAGTCACATGGTAGTTGCATCAGCCCATCTCCAATGCTGCATGATGTTGCCGCACATGCAAGGGATGCATTCGAAGAATAATGTGCAGGCCACGTGAGGGCAACCTGCGCTCATTCTTCGATGCCACAGACCTCAACAAGGACTCAAAGGGTGGCCCTGATCGGTCTTCCATTGTCTTGCGCTGCATGACCCGCAGTTGAGAAGGACGGCGTTCTGTCAGAGAAGGAGTTCAAGAAGTTCTTCGAGTGCTTTCTGCGCTATGCATTCTTCGACGTTGCCAAAGCCCCAGCTCAGGAGGGTTCGTGTGCCGCAACGAAGTGGTAACACTCAGACCGGCACTCCTAAAGTCGAAAGGGACAGATAATGATTTGGAGAGCCCGAAGTTCCCGAATCTCCTGAATCTGATCCCTGCATTGCACAGGAAGAGGTAGAGAGGATCCACTCCGCAGATGCTCATGCAAGCATGAAGACGAGGGAAACCGAATTGTCCTGGCTATCTGGACGGGCGACACACGACATTCATGAGCACGATGGGCCACAAGCCGACCCCAGTCTTTGTTCAGAAACGAGTTGCTGTCTCACCCCACGAAAGCTCCTTCTTCATCATCGTGAGGACTTGTGAGGCTGGAGGCTTGGCTTTGCGGGGAGAAGCAAAACTGGTCAGTTCTTTTGGGTCCAGATACAGAAACCTTTTCTCAGCTGGCCGCAGGCCAGGGTCCCTAGGCGACACCATGGCGCATGCAGGCTGTGTGGACGTGCACAGCTGAGGTGCAGAAGGAGTCTGCAAACAACAAGGCACAAGTCGTCGCGCACCAGCCTCTGACATCCAAGAGAATGAGCAGGGTGACCGCCGTCTCAGAATGCGCTTGTCTGCACTCAGGGAGGCAAAGGAGCCGGAGGAGAACGAGCGAGCAGAGAAGGCTGCGCGGGGCCTTAGTGGGCCTTTGCCCAGGGCTGTGCGGCTCGACATGGCATCATCACATCTGAGCTGAACTTGCATGCGTGGCCTGCATGGGGAGGCACAACAGAGAGCGTCTTGTTTTGTCAGAATGGCTAAGGACGAGAGAAGGCACGGAGTGTTTTCTGTCCATTGTTCTCGCCATGGCCCACGTGCCAGTGTCGATTCCGCAGGTCTGCAAGTAGCACTGCAATTCCATCGCCATCGCCGGATGTAAAAGGAGGCTATGAGCGACAGGCCGGGCTTCAGACATCGGCATCCCACTGTAGCGAGCACGCCGGCTTGCAGCTGCTGTATGGGTCGACAGGCTCGGGCAACGCAAGGAGTGCAGGGAAGCCCAGGCCATGTTAGAAAGAAGATGCATTGCACGAAGTGCTAACAATAGCAACTCAGTGTTTGCTGGAGGCTGGGTCTTGAAAGGTTCCTCGTCGAGCTGGGGCTCTGGGCGGCTTTGGGGGCACCGAGGACAAGATCCGTTTTCTCGAGTCATGGCTTCGGATTTGCCCACGGATGCCAAGCTCGCAGGCATCAACACCGTGACTCAGGCTATTGCTCGATGCTGGATCCTGGGCAGCCGTGGATGTCGGGAAGGGTTCCCAATCTCCGGATTTTGAGAAATATCCCGGCATGCTCTTTGGCCGTTCAAGCCGCGCGCGTCGCCGTCCCCGAGCAGGGCACCGCCGATAGTACTGCCGATCAACCCGACCATGCCCCTGCAAGTCAAAGGATTCAAAGGGGCCTTACGGTCGTGGAGTCAACGCATGTGGGGCTGCTGTGGGGGGTTGCGCGGCAGAAGGCCAAGCGGAGCTCTTCCCCACGTCGGGGCCGGGAGGTGTGGGATGCAGGTGTCTGCACGCAAGGTCAGGCTGGTTGACCTGGACATGTCCCGCTCTGCGGACTTCGCCCTTTTCGTCGGCTTCCAGCACCGCTTCGCGAAGTGCCTTAAGCCTTAAGATCAAGAACCACATCCTGCAGCCAGACGGAACGTTCAGGACGGTGGTGGTCCCGGGACCCCCGAACTTCGACTCCTGGCTTGCATGGTCAAGGACGCGGCTGGCGACAGGATCCCCATGGTCCATGGTCACCCAGAGCAAACTGGACCTTTACAAGGATCGGAACCGGATTTGCAGGTATGGCACTTGCTCGTGGTGGCAGAGGATCGCTGCCGGGCCGAGCACTTCATGACATGTCCCCCTCTGCGGACTTCGCCCTTCTCGTCGGCTTGCAGCACCGCTTCGCGAAGAGCCTTAAGCCTTAAGTTCAAGTACCACATCCTGCAGCCAGACGGAACGTTCAGGACGGTGGAGGTCCCGGGACCCCCGAACTACGACTCCTGGCTTGCATACCCTGTTTACAGGGATCGGTTCCGGAGTTTGCAGGTATGGCACTTGCTCGTGGTGGCAGAGGATCGCTGCCCGGCCGAGCACTTCCCACGAGGCTCACGGAGGACCATGACCATCGGCTCGTCTAGAGGTTCCAACCTGGTAGCGGGTGGGAGCGCGTGTTTAGGTGGGCTCCAAGTGGCCTGGGGCAAGTGCAAGGCCCCGCCAGGAAGGAACCGGATCAAGCCTCGGTCAAAGCTCAACAAGCAGGGAGAGACGCGAGCGAAGCCGGCGGAGAGACGTTCGGGAACCCCTTGACAAGAACGGAGACGGCCAGGCCTGGGACCTGACAAAGGACTATGTGTTTGTGGACACTCTGGAAAAGATCCGCAAGCAGGACGTGAACACGAGCTCGGGACGATCGCAGGGAAGGGGGCCCGAGACGATGCAGGTCGGACGAGAAGCCCGAGATTTGGAGCCCTGAGGCCGAGGAGGGCCACCTACTCGCCTTGCGGGCAGAGGCCTTCGCTGAAGAGCAGGAGAAGGGCGGAAAGCTATTTACGATACAGCACCCCCTTCGCTCCTATATCTGGGACCTCAAGCCTTTCAAGAAAAGGCGACAGGAGGGCAGAGAGACCATCATAGCGTTAGACAGGGTTGTTGACCAACGATCAGACTCGTTGGCAAAGCGGTGCAGGGAAGGGGCAAGGCACTGCTGTGAGGAGAGCGGGGGCTAGGTCTGGCGCACCTCCCTGGCAGCTGCGTACCCGGAGGGCCTTTGCCGGGCGATGGCAGAGGCCTTCGCGGGACACCTGCTCGGGAAGCAACTAGGCGAGAAGTTGGACAAAATTCGGGCAATGTTTGACGAGGGGAAGCCCTATAGCAGCAGGACAGAGGCAGGGACGCGTCATAACCCGGACCCCCCTGCACTCCACAAAGGGAAGGGTTCGGAGGCGTACGTGCAGGGCACCCTGGCCTTGGTGCAGTTAGGGTTCGCACGTAACACAACGCGGTGCGATACTTGGGCGTGGTGAAGGAGGCTTCCTCACCTAAGCGGCTGGCCGTGGACGCGGGGCTGCCGCTCACCACGGTCCAGATCTTGTCCTTGGTGGAGGAGTACGCCTTCGCGCAAGGGCTGGAGGACGGGAGCCGTCTCTACGGTTCCCGCTCCTATAAGGGTGACAGACGCTCTCCGCGGCTCCCGTGGTGATGACCGCGAGGCTATGATGAGTTACCTCCGGGAGGCCCCGGTCATCAGGCCGGCATCGGCAGGGGCGGTTGAGGTGCCTTTCAAACCCCCGCCCATGCATCGCCAGGCGGTGGCGGTGGCACACGGGGCCGCGGAGACGTTGGTGCAGCATGGGATCGCCGCCACGCTCCATCGGCCCAATGCCATGACGGGCCCGCCACACACATGGTCAACGGCGTGTGGCTGGAAATGGGCCGAGATGCCGGAAAATTTCGGCGAGGCCCATGCTGTGGCACTTGTTTTCGCACGTGAAGATCAACGAAATTGAAGGAAAACGAAGGAGGCGCCGCTCTCAAGGGTAAGTGCGTCGGTGGAATCATGAGGTAGTACCGACACGCCCGAATGTGTCATGGAGAGGTTTGGGTTTCAGGGTTTCCCTGGCTACCCTTTTCCCTTGGGTTACCTCTTACGGATGTTTACCGCTTCGGTGCATGGTGCTACATCTGTGCCAAGGTACTGGAAGAAGAAAGAAGTAGGAGGAGAGGAGAAGACAGGTGACCCCCGAGGAAGCTCGGCGGGATCATCGGCTCCTCGCTTGGAGTAAGTCCTGACCGCTGGAGCGAAGGCTCACGACCAGCGACCTCGCGAAAGAAAAACAGAGTGTGTGCGTGCCGGGCGGCTGGGTGGGGGCACGCGAACACGACGGGTTGTTGATGGAATAACAGTTTAGACTTGTCATACACTCCTGTGCTCACGAGAGGTAGTTACGTTAGTTCGCTGTCGAGATCGTTTTGAATCAATGCGGCGTGTGATGCTTTTTCGCTCCGTCCCCATTGTTACGTCGAGCGACATCCCGGTCAGTGTTTTCCCAATGTGCCGGGCAGTTGGTGTTTCATGCCCAGTCGCTTTGCTTGATAGTTGTTGTGGGAGTTCTATTTGGCGCACCGCAACGACCACGACGACTCGACGACCGCAAGAACCTTTGCCAGTAGCCATACCACGACGGCTGACGCTACTGCAACTGCTGCTACTGTTGCTGCTGCTGCTCCTGCTGCAACCACCGCTAGAATTCTGCTGCTTCTGCGCCTGCTGCTGCTGCTGCTGCTGCTGCTGCTGCTGCTGCTGCTGCAACAACAACAACAGCAACTACTACTACTACTACTACTACTACTACTACACTGCTACTGCTACTGCTACTGCTACTGCTACTGCTACTGCTACTGCTACTGCCACTGCCACTGCCACTGCCACCGCCACTGCCACTGCCACTGCCACTGCTGCTACTGCTACTGCTGCTACTACTACTACTACTACGACGACTACTACTACTACTACTACTACTACTACTGCTAGTGCTATTACTACTACTACTACTACTACTACTACTA